GAGCTTACAAAAATAACAGAATGTTACGCTCACGACATACGCAGTGAACTGTGCGTTTAAGATCGGATTGTTTACTATTGTACTCATTATATGATCGTGTTATATGTGTTAATCGAGCAAACTAAACTGCACAGAGAGAGAGAGAAAAGCATAATAAACACAATTGGCATCGTAAAAACGAAATGAAACTAATCACTTCCTGATTTTAATTGTGACGATTCATCTAATCACTGGTGTATGATTTGTTGCAGGCCTTGAATTTGCCAACACCAAAGAAACCTTACAGATAGAATCTGAAACACACGTGATCCGGAATTTAGTTGCTTTAAAACTGAAGTGTAATGATTACCCGTTGAGGTAGCCGAACAGTGTTTTCAGCTCTGCATCAGATAAGTCGTTCCTGGATGGGGGAAAAAACATAAACATTGACAGGTCATGTGAAAGAAAACAGCAAACGGCATGTGACTGTTTAAGAACCTGACCAGACCATGGACCACAGGGTGACTCTGGTCACTCTTGATAATGAGACTCATCCTGTCCTCGAGTTTTCACCTGGTTACAAGAAATAAACTTGACTTGAATGGGACATTGCAAAACATTGTGTACCTCGTTGAAATTCAGCGGAGGCACTGATGAGATTCATTCAGCTTACCCCGAGGCTGTACTTCGGCTATCAGACCTGGGACATGGACTAATGAGTTATTATACAAAACCATCTCTAGTAAGACGTCTGTCCAGCAATGCCAGTTATAGGCCAAAATTCCCTCTTCTAGAGAGGGGCTGTCTAGGGCCCTCTCTAGTGGAGGCCTCTTCATGCAACAATGGATAGAGCATGCCTGATGATGGTGGTGGTGACCACGGCGATAGGATACCAAGACGCAGTACCAAGTTTGTCGGCAAAAAATGCCCTCTGCCGGAGGGGCTGTCTAGAGCCCTCTCTAGTGGGGGCCTCTTCATCCAACAATGGATAGAGCATGCCTGATGATGATGGTGACGACAACGAGATCCTCACCGAATGGGCACGACCCGGGCGCCGGCAGACTCTAGGTACTTGACGTATGAAGCCGCGATGTAGGACTCTCCAAACTGCTTGCTAACCGGGAACACAGCTTGAGAGAGAACACCTGCACGGCAGAAACAGAGTCCGACGGACTTCACCGACTTTGAATCACACGTAGATGTAATGGTGTGCAAAACTCAAGCGCACTGTGCTACGAGCACTCACGCACTCACTCCCGCACCTCCGATGAGCACAGTTGGGTACGTATGCTCTGAAAGAAGTTCAGCAGCAACAACCGCCATTCGCCACGAAGTGTCGGTGACGTCCCAACGGCGCGTACAGAGTTCAACATACATACATACATGCACTCAGTCATCTATGTGTATATGATAATGCAGCGGGAGTAGTTATGTTAAATACGCAATTCTGTAAAGCTCCTATTCTTTTTTTTGTCTCGGCTAAACCATAAATTGGGTGAAATGGTGACTTTCAACGGCATTTGCAGATTAAAATGTTTTCTAAAATGAAAGTGACGTGGCATTCAAGCGGCGTGACTAAAGCTGAACTGTACAACCTAAAATGCAAAGGCGCAGCCCTGCAATTGCGCGCTCACGCCACTGCTGGCGGAAGGGACTCCACTAGAGGCAGCTCTCTCGAGGTCCACCCTCTGGAGGATATTTGGCCTACTCTTCCACACTGGCTCGACGTCCCGGATAGAGGTTTAGGCGCACTCACACTGCTGCCCCAACCACCTACGTACGATCCGGCGATCGACTAACTGTGTAGGGCCGTGAGGGATGGCGATGACATCCTCCATCCGGCAGCGGACAGACAACGACGACGCTGCTGCTGACGCCGATGGTGATGGGTAGTGCAAGCACTTGCCGATGATGGGTCTGTCATTGACGCCCTTTCGTGCGGGGCCAGTCGGAGCGCTGAGAACGGCCGAGAGGAGCGCGGCGAGCGCCGAGAACAGCACGGCAGAGCGGGCCACGCTTTTGTCCTGCGTGAACAAAACGCACAGACGCGTGCGCAAAAAAAAAACACGCTGTGTCAAACGAACGCACCAAAGTGTATTTTTTTAAATGAACCAACGTGAGCCTAGGTGTGCGTCAGTTCCATTATACGTGGCGAGTTTGCGTACACGCACACGGCCATATAAAAGGTGTCCCCGTAATTTTGTACGTTTTTTAAAAATTGTTGCAGCCATTTATTTGTTATACCTTAGTGTGTTTTTCATACTGTTTTTGATGATGCATTTGAGCACTCGTATTCGTTATCCTGTTGGCGGTAAGTTTCTTTGTGAGAACGGTGTTCGTTTTTGCACATCCTCTCCGTGCAGCGTCCTGTAACTAGCAACTTGGCCTCGGGCTGCGATCGGATATATCTGTCAACCCACACGGTTTACCCCGTATTCTTGTACAGGGAAATTAATTTTCAAGGTCCATACGGCGTACAGCCGTTTCAATACGGGCACAATTTATGTTTTGTCTATTTGTTTGCGTTTCTCCCTTGTGATGGGACTTTGTAGGATGAATTAGGTCTCTGAATTGCTCTGTAACAAGGTGGGGCACTGATAGGGGTTTGACAGGTATGCGATCGTCCTTGGAAAAGAGCTGCCTCGCTCAATAGGGCCAATAATACACAATACTTATTTAAGGCCGAGTCGAGCGAGGTTCACATATTCGCCACTGATGTAAGCAATCGAATGCCTCGCCTGGTTCCTGACGCAGTGCAGACACAAACAGAGAGAGACATCCCCCACATAACCTGTAACAGACTGTAGGGGCAAGTGCTATTAGCGAGCACCTATGAAGGCAGGAAAGGTACACGAGGGGGTGGGTGGCCAGCACCACGCCCGGCCGCCTTTGTCTCCCAGGTGGCGATGTTTTCAGGCTGAGTCGACCTAGGGGGAGGCCCAGGACCGGTTCAAATAATCGGTCCACTACGACGGTAGCTCACAGCCCCTTGCCAATCCACTGCTGGACGAGGATCTGTGTCCACGTTGCGTCGGTCGTGGGCCTCATTGCTCCATACTTCACTACGCTGTTTCGGTACGATTGTACAAAGTGCCGCATTATAATCAGTCGCCCACTTACGGTATCGCCGTGGGCGGGATTCGAACCGAGGCTCATTGATCGGGATCGTAGCGCAGTGCGACAACGCTCACCTGCACGTACACAAAGACAAAGATGCCCCGTATAGCCTTAACAGACTGTAGGGGCAAGTGCTGAAGGCCGGAACGGCACACGAGGGGGTGGGTGGCCAGCACCATGCCCGACCGCCTTTGTCTCCCTAGTGGCGATGTTTACACACCGCACCAGGTACTGATTTGAGGCTGAGTCGACCTAGGGGAGGCCCGGGACCGGTTCAGACAATCGTCACTGGTGTTGGCCGTGAGAGACACACACTGACACACACACACTGACACTGACACACACTAACAAACACACTGACACACACTAACAAACACACACTGACACTGACACACAAACACACTGATACACTGGAGAATGACTGCGTTACGAAATCATTGACGCCAAAGGGATAAGGAGTGCGTTCGCGGAAGCCGACGGCGAGCAACACCGACACACAACGCTCGCTCGTCGCTGGACGACGACGCCAACAAACAAACGTCGTCGTCGTCGTCCTCGGCGTGGTTCCACTCACGTGCATCGTCCAAGAGAACCGACGATTCTGCCGACGACGATGAGACACCGTCCGTCTCGCGTCTCGCTGTGTGTGTGGGTAGAGTCGGGGTCTCTTCTCCCTTAAGTGCTCGTCGCCGGCAAAGCAACCCCCTTCCCCGTGTCTCTCCCCGTCTCTCTCTCTCTCGACGGACGTGAGCGAGAGAAACAATGTCCGCGACACGAGCCCCCCCTTGCGTCCGCAGCCGGCAGTGCGCGGGCGTGTTGACGAGGGCACGTGGCCACCACCACCCACACCGCCACCACCACCACCCCCAGTCTAGCAGTAGGTAGAGCACTGGTGGCTCCCTCCATGTGGTGTCCACCCTCCAGCGGCAGGGTACAGCTTTAGCAGCTTCTGGGGCAGCACTGCTTGAGACTATTGCCATACTCGGTGTGGTTCCTCCACTCCGACAGTAGATCAGGGGCCTTCTTGCCGGTGGTTGGATCCTGCTGTGCTTCTCTCCCCCTTCCCAAGTCGGTGGCCCCCATACCCCCCTTTATTTGTTGCCCCCCTTTTTATAGCCGGTAGATTGCCTTTGAGGAAGCCCTATCATGCAATACACTCCTAAAACTGTTCCCCACCAGCCAAAACTGACACCGGAGGGAAGCCAGGGGTGTGATCGTCAACTTTCACCTCGCCACAGAAAGCAATTGGATCTATGCACTTTTAAAGCTCTTCGGTTCAAAACTAATTTCTTGAAAATTGCTTTTTGCGTTTATTTTGTCCTTCCCCCGCACCTAGCACGACTGGCTACGTACGGTGCAAAAGTTCAACAAACAGTACACGATGAGTATTTGTGGGGCTGGGAGCCAGGGGAATTGTGGTGCGTCTTGCAATAAAGGGGGAGTACCCACGCTTTACCGCACCATTACGAGCGATCTGCCACCGCCAATCACCCTTTAACCTTTTGTACCAACTTGTTAAATAATCAAACCGGCGATCTCAGAATTGCAAGTTCAGCCGTGGTCACCATTTCACCACGGGCCAGCACCGCTATGCGCGTGGCACGAAATATAAAAAGAGGGCTTCTCGTGCCTCACTGGATGAGTTGAACAATGGGAGATGTGGCTCTCGACTTACTCCTCGGCACGTCTCGCCGCAACCTTCTGGAAGCGAGCTCATTGTGTGACAAGAGACTGGAGGGCGCCCAAAGATAATAATGCAGTGGGCAGGGCAGACCTTGATGCAATTATAAACTTGAGCAGGTACAGTAGGACACTATGCCAAGGAAGATTAAACAGTGAATAGTCTTCATTTCGTGTTTGAGAATTGCCAGCAGAGCGAATTAAATATCACTATTAAGCTTATCCACACATCAATATAATTTTATTTGATTTCTGCAAGACATTTAAACACTTTTTTTTGGAAGAGGACAATTAAAGTACACGCGTGCATTTACTATCCATTATAAATCATCCAACCTGGACGTAAAAAACAAACAAAAGATCGCTTCAAACACCACATTTTATACGGGGATCCACCATCTCATCCGGATTATTATTCTTGTGCGGTGGCATCAGTCGCAGCCCACCACAATGAGAGAGATCCGCACGTTTTATTAAAAACCTTGCACTGGAAAAGCGCTCTCACATTCGGCACCATTCAGGAGCGGGTTTCGCGCAATTTGGCTGCGGAAATTCCTTCCGTGGCCGCTCTCGCCCTGGCGGCTGCTATGGCCTCGAATCACCGTCACAACCCGGGCGGCGCTGCTGCTGCCACTGCCGCGCCTTGCCGCAGCTCCCGCACGACACCAGCACATCGTCCACTGCCGCGTCCCCTTGGAAACCGCTCCCGAGGACACCTTCCAGGTGCAGCTGAAACAACAAAAGCTCATTAACACACACAGACAAAGATCCTCCCAACCCCCCACCCCCACCTGTATAGTCTTAAAACACACTTTTGGGGCAGGTACCGTTTTTCGAGCAGCACCTATGATAGACAAATGGCCGCTTACCTTGAACAGCTGGCGTGGTGGAACAAAAATGCCCAACTCTGCGTAGAGCCATGCATTGCCGCGGTCACCGCTGGCGGACCACAGGACTGGCCTATCGGTGCCATCGGTGGACTCAAGACGTACACTCAGTGTTCCTGGAAACAAACACAAGCGGTGAATTACATTTCTTGTGCACCTTATAGCTGAAATATAAATTCCAACCGTCGAGGTCTGCTAGCCACGACAAGAGGGCTTCAGGAGAGAGAGTTGGTGTATAACAGGTTTTTTGTTTTGTTTAGATCGCGTAAATATAAGTGTCGTTAAACACGTCACCACCCGACAGACAATTGGTAAAGTTTGTCACGTAAACAAAACATGCCAATTCGTTATTAGTACAGCACACTGGGTGTGTTGATATTGGTTGTGAAAACCTACGTGTGGATGAGGAACAGAAAAAGTTGTAGTTTTTCTGTTCCTCATCCATTGAAGGAGCAGGGACTACATATGTTCCATAGTTTGGGTTGCATGGCCAGTTGTCTGTAGGCTTTTATTTTACTGGTACGAACCTTCTGGTTACACCAGCCCACAGGGGATTATTGTGTCCGTCTGTCCGTCGTGCATCCGAAAATGGGAGGGGTGGGGCTGGGTGGAGAGGGGAGGATGGGGAGGGGCTGGTCACCCCGTGGTGCCCTTATAAAACTCAACGTTTAACCTACCCACGCCAGCTTGTGCCCGCCCTCAGTCGGACATATTTGCGGAATACACCACGCTGCCGTTGACCCTGGCCATTGACCGAGCAACCCAACGTTCTTACTAGCTCCCTCCGCAGGAATGTGTTATTTTCCATTCATGAAAGAAGATGAGAACATCACGAGGCCAATGTGCACGTGGCAAATGCTTTTACAGCTGTGCCTTTGAGGAGGAATGTCAAAATTAGGAGGGTGAGCGTTGTTTGGGTCTCGGTTGAAGCATTTATTCTGGACTCCCACATTGTTCCATTAAATTGGTGAATCAAGAACATATTTGCAGATATGGACTATTGGAGGGAAGGATTCAGCCCCCTTCTCCAAAATGGAAGCCGACAAATCATGATTCAGAATCCGAATCCATCAATTATTTCCCACTCAAGTGGTTGGAGATGTCACGGCATCATTAACACCATCGTCAGGAAGACGGCCTTCCCAATATTCCCCCCTCCCCAACTCCTCCCTCAAAGTTTCAATAACGTCATCTTATGTGGGCTATTCTACAACACCACAAGATAGTGCACGAAGCTCTACGAGAACGGTGAATTGAAACAAGTGTCGGAGCGCAACGCACACAACATAATTTAAAAATTTCTGGAATAAAACGTACATATTTTTTTTATTCATAAAAAGACGCAAATGCACGCAATAAACCGTCATGATTCCTTGCAAAATGTTTCTGTTCGGTGTTGTAACATGTTGACGCCTGTTTTATGGCCAGAAAGGGTAAAACCTATTGTTATATTGTCATGCGTTTGTGGTTATACTTGTACCTTTGCCGTTTCACTTACCCATGCTCGCGCCCCTCATGTGGTACCAGAAGGTCATGCACTTGGGCCCTCGGAAGAGGGGGCTCGTGAGTACCGCCGTCTGACCGTCTTCCCGAGGATAAGAGGCCTCCGTGTACAAGTAATGCCCTGATGACACTCGCCAGAAAGAACAGACGAACGAAGAAGCCGTTGAATAGATTCTAAAGGTGCAAACACCGCATCGATGTCCTATGTATTTATACAAACCTCGCGACTGCTTTGCCTTGGAACATTTTGGGTAAAGCATATAAAAGACAAAGACCCCCCCCCCCCCGTATAGCCATAGCAGACTGTGGGGGAGGGGGGCGCAAGTGCTGTTAGCGAGCACCTATTGAAGGCCGGCACGACACACACGAGGGTGGGTCGCCAGGACCAAGTCCGGCTGCCTTTGTCTCCCCAGTGGTGATATTTACACACTGCACCAGGTTACTCGTTTGAGTCCAAGTCGACCTTGGGGAGGCCCCGGATCAATTCAGATAATCGTCACCTGGTGTTGGCCGCAAGCGGGTAGCCGGGTTCGAAGCGTAGCACGCTAACCATTGTGCTACCGCTCCCCACAGTTGTCTCCACATACATGGAGGGCTCTCGACAATAACATCTGATACCCCAGCAGTGTATGTTTAACAAGCTTGATTCTGATGACAAGACCCAGAGAAGGCCAAAAATGGTTCAGAGTTTACTTGCTTGAACAAATGCGGCTTGATAATAACCGGTCTGGAAAGTTACTAGTCTCGTGCCAACTTCCAGTCTACCTGGAGACCTGGAAAAAAATTCAGCGAGTAGTTAGAAACCCTGGCACCGGCCATCACAAACCATCTACCTCAGCCCCGTAGCTTCAAAATATTGGTACATTTAAAACGGATAGCAAATAAAGCAACGGGCATCATAGCCTTTCCCCAAATAGATAAAAGCGTGAGAGCTAGTGCAGATTGCATCGTTTCAAATCTAAATTTGGCATTTAAACATTCATTAACAGCCGGTTTAAATGTCGACCTTGTCGCGTATGCCGGCCGAGATTTTGTACGCCCCATTGAACACTTTCCCGTTCCGATGACGTACGTGTACATCAGTTTTAAATAAAATAACTTTATCGGTACCAAGGCTACCACAAGCCCATGTGGGAGGGGGTTTGGCAGTTTGGCGCCAGCTATCATAGTGTGGTCGTGTCGCTACCGTTCTGTGGCGAGTACATTGGTCTTTAAAAACAACGGCGCTTTGCCTCTAAATGCAATAGAAGCTGAACTGCTTGCGCATTCCGAGATTCAGCGGTGAACGGGACCCATCCTGCAACCTACAGATGTCGCGGAACGGGAAAGTGTTAAAAGCAAAGGGGTCGCAACGACAGGGCTGGGTCGGCACTCCTCACCGGTCCTGGTTCCACACCGGCCGAGCGTGTGGTCGGCACGAGGCCCAGTGTTCCACGACGGAGTGCTGCCCAACGCCAGCATCCAGTCGAAGTCGTCTGCGATGGACTGCGCCCACGGGCACTGCGAGCTCGTCTCGAACTCACAGAGAGCCTCATCCAGCACGGCGAGCGGGGCGCTTCTTGGCAGCAAGTGCCGCAGAGAGAAGTTTCTGGTCCTGCCGGTCACCCGATGGCCGGGCGGAGTAGTCGGTTGTGTCCGACCGTTGGTGGTCAGTGGCTGCTGATCACCAGACGTTGTTGTTGCTGGGCGAGCGATCGGATGCGATTTTAAGGTTGTCCGTCCTGTTGCGTAGTCGGTTGACCCAAAGCTATCGACGGGCAGCATAGTAGCGTCCGGTTTGGCCGTGTCCTCCACTCCGGGCAATTCTGTAGTTTGAGGCACAGCGCTTTGCGAGGCTGTATCGTGGGCACTTCTCGTCGATGGAGAGGGATCTGAAAGAGATATTTTACTGGCACTGGATGTAATCATGGCAGTCGTATTTTTTGCCGTGGCGGTTCCAGTTACGTGTCCAGCAGGCACGGGGAGGCTCGTGACATCTTGAGAACACGTAGTCTCCGTAGCGGCACTCTCGTCCAATCCGGCAGTGGTTGACGACGGGATTGTGGCTGAAGACGGGATCGTGGTTAAAGACGTAATCATGGTCGACGACAAAAGTACTTGCGATGGAGTGCCTCCAGGAGGACTCAAAGGTTGCGAAGCGTATTCGGAAGTCGCCACGTTCACTGGAAGTGCAGAAGAGCCAACGCTGTCGCTCACAGAAGAGCCGGTAGAATCGGAAACGTTTCGAGGTGGCGTGGTTAGAGCGGCATTGTCGTTGCCAATGGTTATTTCAATGTGAGATGAAGAGGAATTTGACGTTGATGTCGTCACGTTTTTGTCCATCTTGTTTTCTGGAATGGCACCTCGTGGAGTAAATTAAGTAAAGGAGAATTAGAGGGCACTGCCACAAATTTCAGACACTTGAAAGGCGAGTATATTTTTAGTATCCAGGTTTCAGCCACCGATTTTCTCAACTGGGTTCCCCTCTGCCTAGTCACAAATGACTGCACAATACATTCCAGCTCCGATACTTTAACATTTTGGTTTGCGTGGCACACGATGAACACTCGTTGCACGAGTCTACGACGTGTTTTTATGCACAATGGTTGCCCAATACAAGCACCTATCCAGGCTCAAATCCTGCCAAGCTTGAGATCGGATGAGATGGGGCCTTTCATTCCAAGCGATTTGGTCACAGTCCATACACGCACTCTACATGAACGCAGCCGGACATCTTGACTGCACAGAGAACCGCGTACCTTCGAGGTGTTTTCTGCATGCATAAAACCGGTTCACTTTGTAGACGTCCTGGTCACTGAGCTTCTCGCGCTGTCCCAGGGTCACGTTCGTCTCGGGGGTCGGTACGAGCGTTGGCCTTCTGTTTTTCGTGAACGCAAATCTGCGGTCGGAAAGCGATGGCATTTGAATAAAAATATGTACGTGACAAGAAAGCGCATGATCTTAACAAAAACCCCAGTGCAGGCCACAAAACCATAAGTGTCAAACACAAACGAATACTAGAAAGCTTTTGTGCATTATGCAAAAAACAATTCCTGAAGAACTGCATTGTGGTCCTCTGTCTTAGGTCACCATCAAATTAATTTGAACAATCGTGACCGACCGATGGTGCAGTTAGATAAACCTTTGCAGACGTTAACACTAGTGTGACTTCCTGTGTGTGTGTAGAACTTTTTTCGCCGTACAAAGCCAACCATGCTAAATCGGAGGTACCTTACCGACGAGTCCTAACAAGGACGATACCCGCTCTACCGTTGTCCATCTCGGCGTTACATTTGCTCAAATTGATTCCATGGCAACCACAATGCAGTTCAGCAAATGTTCATGGGTTTTCAGTAATGCACAAGGGCCGAGGAGTGCCCTTTGTACAGGTTTCCGAGTGTCGTCTGAAAAGGGCATTTTAAAGTTGCAGTGTACAGGCGGATCCATTTATAGATACCCCACCGAAATAGGATAATTATAGGAGGAAGCAACATTTTATTACAAAAGGCTCTAACATGTCTTGCCGCAAAACCCTACGCATTTAAATCTCGAAAACTCCCGACATGGATCCCCCGGACCAGACGATTCGGTTATCGCTACAGATATCAGCCACCGACAGGAATTTAACTTGTGTTAACTACGTTCATAGTGCAGTGCGCGTTGAACCACTGTGCCGAAAGTTCTGCAATGCTTCAAGTATTGTGCCGAGTGCTTCATTTCGTACAAGCTGCACCAGTGTAGTAAATCATTAAACATCAATCGACCTTAAAAAACATAATAGACAATGGTCCAGGAAAAAGCGCTTCTTAAATTGTACAGAAAGGCCGTAGAGATAGACAAGTGTTTGAGACTGTGCTTAATACCACAGGGCCTGATGAGTAATTGCATAAAAACAATTCTGATGGCCAGTATTTAAAGTGGCATATGCATAGTTATTTAATGGTAGCTGGTGTAATGGACAAACCAATTAAGCATATTAAAAGTACATTATAAAGTGTTGCTGGCAACATTGCATTGTGGGAAGGTTTGTTCTCGTGAGAGAACAAGGCAATCAAATCCACCCCCCTTGGCCCAATCGGACATTTCAATGAAATTAAACAGCTATATATTCCCAACGCAGAAGTATGACAAATAAAATGCAAAATACACACATTGTACCACAATAACGAATATCGTATGCGGCATGATGCTGGAGCTTATGGGGCGGCACTGGAGGTTTGCGTGCAAGAGCTAAATACTGAAATAGAAACCTATATTTTACCAGAGATAAAGCCCACTGATCTATGTAGCTATTTTCAGAAGCGACATGGCCACAATTGACAGCTCAAAGTGGCTTACATTTTTAGCAGCCAAATTCTCTAAACGCATGTCGATTCGAAATGTAGAGGACCAGGGAGAAAAATCCACGTGACCACGGGGAGAGCACGCAAACTAAGCATACAGGCGTCAGGATCGAACCAATGACCTCCTGTATACCAGGCAACGGAGCATGGGGTCGCCGCCACCGCCACCCGTACCGGTTGTAGTGGAGTAGAGAGCCGTAGTCGTAGGGCGTGTCCAGGTTGTTGGTCTGCTCCTTGTTGAAGTTGTGCTCATATCCTGCGCGACGACACGCGACGAAGGCCGAAAAGGGTACGACGCGAGATTCGCACCCCGTATTTTCGCGACAGCGTTCAAGCTTTGTAACGTACGTAAAATGTATGTTGAACGTCTTTCGCACCGTACGCAGCCAACCGTACTAATCGTACAGATGGGGCTTGGCCCGGGACACATCACGAGAAGGGGGTGAGAGGGGCTAGTTGTGTGGTTTGTGACCCACGACGGCGTCTGCACCCAACGGAGAGGACCGCATCTAAAAGGAGGCCGGGTCCACCGTGGGCACCGTGGGATGAGATCGGACAGTACGCGGCAGCCGCTGTAGGAAATCGTCGGATTGAAGAACTACTTTGCCGGAGACATCCATCCAGCAGTGGCTAGAACGTGGCTGCCGATGACGACAACAGTGTGAAGAAACGGAGCAAGAAGAGTATGTAGACGAGGTAGCCATAAATAGAAGCCCATGAGCCGGGGGGGGAGGGGGGGGGGTTGGGTGAGTACCACCTGGGGAGACGAATGCTACTTGCTAGTATCCCCCACCCACAGGCAGTATCCATCCACCATGGACAACAGATAGTGGAGTGTAACATATCAACTATTTCATATACACGCACACATATTCCGTGGGTTTTTCAAATGACATGACATTATTTTCTTCTATTACACACTGTACTATGGGGGTACCCATTCGATAACAAATTCTTACATGCTGTATATATTTAACAAAAAAATATACCACCTTGATCTTGCTACCACACGACCTTGTGACCTAGGAGATTAAATGCCAAAAAGAAAAAGCATCGGTGGAAGCAGTTGCCACCTCGGAGGCGTGTGTGGGGGGTTACCGGTGCAGCCACATTTTTCGGGTCTAAAACGGGGGGGGTCCTACACGAATGGGCGAGGTTGTGCCGACCTGGAATGATGTCGTCCCACTGCACGGACACGAACTGGTCGCGGTCGCTGCGCGCCTGCTCGTGCCAGAAGCCCAGCGAGTGCAGCAGTTCGTGCTGGATGATGCCCTTTTGCAGGCAGCGCTCGTCCAGAGACACGATCTGCATGCCCCTGTGGTGCCCCATCAGCGAGTAGCATCTGTCCCCCACCACCCACGTCGTCCACAGATGATCATCCACAAATCAGTGATGGACTGGGACTAAACAGAAAATCGGGCCCAGGCATTTGTAAAACACAACGGGCCCAAATTACCGTGAGATCTAAATTGGCCCATTTGGACTGGTACAAAAAAATTACTAAATGGGCCGGCGAGGATGAATCTTTGCGGCTGCAGAATATGGGACTCAAATGCCAACTGAGAGCGTAAATAAGCAATGAAGCGTACACATTAGAGGTAATAAAATATTTAAACACGTTTTACTCCGATCACATTTGTAATTTCCCCACAGAGTTTGGACTTAAACTCGGCCTATAAAATTGAATGACTCGCCTAGCTGGTTTACAGACTCAGATGAAAACACAACGAGGTGTGGGGGGTGAGAGCCTTAAATCAAACATCCACATACACACCAACTTACCCCATGACGGGATAGAATGCCAGGTAGTCGGCTTCATTGTCACGTGGCACAAATCTGACGCACGTTCGATAATTAAACTCATTCATGGCCTCTTGTATTACCCTCTGCTGCTCCGGTTCTGCACAGAGAAAGACCGCACACCACCCCACCAAGGTCTCAAACTCATTTAAGCTTGGGACGGACAGCGTGGGCATGTGCTGCCTGCGTGCGGATAAGAAACCACTCTCATGCATCAAGAACTTCTGACAGTGCCGGGGGGCGGGGGGGGGTCAGTGGGCCTCTTCATAGCGAATCCAAAAACGTGCCAGGCACGCGGGTACGGCCCGAAATGGCACCGTCGGAGAACGGGCCACAGGGCACTACCGCGACACCCTACCACCGTACGCACGGAAGGGTCGCTCACCGTAGCGGTTGTACATCTCGTAAGGGATGTAGACATTTCCGTCTTCCGATTTTGCCCACTTAAAGCCTAAATTCGCGATCGCGTTCCTCGTGAGCTGTGACGCACGCACACAATTAGAAAGACTGTCAGCTTAACACGTAGGCATTTGCGACAAATATTATTCATAAAGGATTTTGTGCTAAATCGCGTAAATACAAGTGTCGTTAACCCACGACCACCCGACACAGGTTTGTCACGTGAACAAAACGTACCAATTGGTTACTGCTTCAGCACGCCGGTGAGTTGGCGAGCAAAACGCAAAACATTTACAATTTCAGTACGACGTTTCCGCTGGTGGTTACAACCCAGCTTCATCAGGCGATTTGCCACAATTATCACGAACAGAAAGACTATCGTAGTGCCCAACAGCTACAAAGATGAGCAAGTCGCTAAAGCCGACGGAGAGCTCACTAGGTCGCAGTTAAAAGGCCACGGACGCCCTCTTTGTCCTTACCGGGCTCATGATGTCCGCTTCCACCAGGAACGTTGCACGGGAATACTCATTGAAGATTAACGCTGAGGCGACAGTGGAACATTCAACAATAAGGGGTCTTCCCCGTACATGCAAGCAATACATATACTACATTTTAATTTACTTTTTTAAGAAAATGCCTTCAACCAGCAGTACCATTCATTATTATGCATTACAAGGGCAGATCCAGAGCCGTTCAAGGGATCCCAGGGCAGTCTCGACATGTCAAGCACGTATTTATTTCTGGTAGATACCAATAACATACCCAATGTCAGAGTTTCAAGCGGGGGTGAGGGGGGGTAGAGGGGGTGGGGGGGCCTCACTGCCCCCCCCCCCCTCATCCTCACCCCATACACACGAGGGACTCACGTTTGTTGATTTCAAAGATCGTGTCCAGCTCTGCGCTTCGCTTCTCGTGCAGGACTCTCTCCAGACGCCGGTTCCCTACAGACGGCACCTGGGCAAGTCCTAGGTCGCAGCCACGCTAGATTAATACTCAAGTACAACATTATTTCCGTACCGCGCACGCGCGCGTGTGTGTGTGTGTGTTTATCCATTGGCAACAATTTTTTTAGGTCTGCTTAGTGTGTTGTACCCTCCCACACGCCTCCCATTAGCACGGCTGGCCGTGTACGGTGCGAAACAAGTTCAACGTACATAAAACAATGCTCCGCAGAGTATGACAAAAGGTCAATAGCGCAGCCCCTGCAACTGCTTGCCACGCCACTCTTGGAAAAAGGGCCTCAAATCGAAGAGCGGTTTTTCTCATTTTTTGCCCGCGGACCACTCAGCCCTCTCACCCCAGGTGACAAAACGCATTCACTGCTCCCTAAATACCAGAACTACATTATTCATATTACCAGAACATAAAAAACGTGGGTTTTGACGTAGCGATACTATTTTGAGGGGGAGGCAGGAATTTAGATCTTAGGGTTATGGTAGTAGTTTACCAAACTTAATTTTAAAATAAAATATCAGAAGTAAAATGCTAATGCAATGTCCGAAACAATAAGGTAGAACCAGTCTTTATTGTCCGCATCAAGATGCGTTTGCATCACAGCCCCACTTGGACTCACCTGGGGGATCGTCGCGGACCACACTGACAACCTTTACTACAGCCTTGCATCGCTTTGGTTTTCAATCGTTAAAAAAATTTTGATTTAAAGCTTTCGTGACTGCAGTAATTCATATTCTTAGTTTTTTCGGTAAAGTCACGTTGAAGAGAAACAACAAAATAACAAAATATATATAAAACAATAAAAAATTCTCACGTCGTGAGAAATTCTCACGTCGTGAGAAATTCACGTCGTGAGAAATTCTCACGTCGTGAGAATTTTTTTATTGTTTTATATATATTTTGTTATTTTGTTGTTTCTCTTCAACGTGACTTTACCGAAAAAACTAAGAATACGTCAAAAAAATTGTTAACAAATACATAGGTTTGATGAAACAAGGTTATTGTACACTTAAGTGCCCGTGTATAATTTGTGTTTTGATGATTCTAAAACAAACCTGGCCATGTCTCGCACCCCCAGAAACGGCATCTCGCACCCGCAGAGGGTGCGCGCACCCCAGGTCAAGAAGAACCACTGCTCGATAGACGGAGCTCGTCTGGAGGGCTTTTCGCCCAGATGTTTGAGACAACGTTCATGGATATTCTTAGCTCCATCGGTAAAGTCACGTTGAAGGGAAACAATAAAATAATAAAATATACATAAAACAATTTAATATAATAAAATAATAAAATACATGGAACAATTCTATATATTATTATTTTATTGTTTCCCTTCAACGTGACTTTACCGAAAGAGCTAAGAATATGAATTACTGCAGTCACGAAGCTTTAAATCAAAATTTAACGTTCATGGAGTTTATGTACAAGAGTGCGGCTTTAGTTTGAGGTCATATTATAGATCGGCGCCTGCCCTTTCCAGCTCATCGGATTCCTCCAGCGTAAATAAATGTACCGTTTCAGAAGGACTTCATTTTATAAAAATGAATTTAACCTCGAGCATCTCAATACGGATCAGTGCAGTACTAAGATTTTGAAAAAGATTTCATTAAAACCAACCATCAAATCGACCACAGCACAACTTCGGTAAACATGGGACGTCGAGCCAACGTTGGCCCAACGTTATTCCGACAACGTTGGACGGGCGGAGGGGGGGGGGGGTCAACGTTCGTCGACTGGGCCATTACCAGAACTTGCCTTAAAAAGTCGTTCTCCTTTCCTACACAGCGTTAGAAGATTTCATAAAAAAGCAAGAATTGCCGACTGCTCAGCAACTAACGTAGCAGGACTCGGCGTAGTCGGTACAAAAGAAAACGGCCAATCCGTTAACGCCACCGACCTTGTGCAAGCAGAGCGAGCAGGGCGAGCACCAGGGGAGACGCCGCAACCTTCACACTCCTCCCGCCCGTCATCATGAACCGAGGCGACGAGGCGATCCAGAGAGCTTCGCAGGAGGTCTCAACAGGTGTACCCCATTAAACGTGCCAAAAGCTCAGAAACGCCCGGCACAGGACCGTGCATTCCGCGTTAACCACGCTCACAGCTCCCCTAATGCAGGACTCGCAGACGAAATTTGGCTGACGATCTACAAGTTAGATTTTTGTTCGCGCGCGCGCGCGTCACGTTTTTTTAAGAGGCGTTTATGGCGTTTTGTTCCACGGCGGTGCGATGCATCGGGCACCGGAGGCGCGCAGATGAGAGCTCAAACAAAGTTCGGGCGGCGAGCAATGTGGTGCTGCTCCTGGAATCTCTCTCGATCCGCGTTTAGAATGTTCGTGTGTTTTGTGTCTCTTGTCGTTTTAAAAAAATATCAGCGAGCGGCTTGCAACCCAACGCCAGTCCTCACAACCAAACTAATGTTACCTCCTCTAAAAAAATACACAAATTCAACGACGCCACGTGTTCACCCGTATTTGATGGTTCTTTGCTAAACACGTTGCACGTGCCGGAGAGATCTCCAACTCGAATTAAGATACTTGTGCGTGTATGTCTTTGTTCTACGTGATGCAATGAGCACCGAATCGAATGCAGATAAATTCATTGTGTGCGTGTGCGCCCCGTGTGACGAGGAAGGTGCTGATTGTTATCAGTTGGCGCTCTGCACGCCGCGTAGGACGCGTTTGAGAATTAATCATGAGGTGTGTGCAGCGTGTACAAAAATTACGTTGTACTTGAAAGGTGATACATTGGTGTGTGCGTGTGTACACGTGTTGCAGGTGTGTGCGTGTACACGTGTTGCAGGTGTGTGTACACGTGTTGCAGGTGTGTGTGTGTTTACACGTGTTGCAGGTGTGTGTGTGTTTACACGTGTTGCAGGTGTGTGCGTGTACACGTGTTCAGTTTGACGCAAACAGCGTCAATTGCTTAAAGCGCCACGTGGGACGTATTTAGCAATCATCGGGCGCGTGCAGCGTAGAACGAGATAATTAGAATGGGATGAATAAATTGGTGAGATGGAGCGTGGTGGCGGTGGGTTGCGAGGTCCGGCGTTTTGGGAAACGCTGGCATAGCAGGATCTATCTTGCCACATATCTGTGAAAAGTGAAGACACTGGCACAATTGGATGCCAATACTAGATTGTGATATTTCGCTCCCGGAAGTTTCGCAGTGATTAGTGCGCTGCATTATGAACCCGGAGACCTGGGTTCGATTTCTCGGTCACCGCTGTCAATCGATTATTTAATCAAATCGCAAATCCTTCATCATCGAAAGTAATAATACGAATTACAAAAGTTGTTCCCGCTATCAAAATAAAGCTTGCGTAATTCGAAAAATACGGCAAGATGTTCAGAAAGCAAAATGACAATATCGATGTCTGCTAGCAGCGATGAGAGGGCTTCAGGAGAGACAGAGTTGGTGCAATTTTGATGTCTCTCCTCCTCCGTTGAAAGAGCGCAGAGTCGAGTGGTTTTACAATGGCAGCGTTCTTCATTGCAGCAAGGCCCCGTGGGCCACTGACGTGCCCCCCCCCCCACAATACACAACACGTGACAACACCATCCCCGTCACCAGCGTGCTGCTGTCAAACCCCAATGGTTTCAAATGTGTGGCGGCACTCACACTGACGATATCTCATCGGCCCCCCTTCCCCCCCCCCTGACAATGAGTAAACACTGCTGTACTGTGGTTCAATAGCTTGGGTTGAATAGCCAGAGTCGCAACACTGGATTGTGGCTTTAAATTCACGCGCACGAAGGAGATGTGGGCATCGGCCTGTCGATGTCCCCATGCGGTTGATGGTTCCACCACCAGCTATGGCTACAAAGTTAGGTCGTACATGTTATGTATATCGTTTATTGTTACATTTGAATCACAGTTCCTATGATTACTGTTACATTGTTTTATAGTTTTATTTTGGTGATTCGAAAACGTATGGTTTAGCTAAATTTGTTTGAAGTACAGAGTTAGCCTGACAACTTTAATCTAAATGGTCTTATGGTTGTTATTGTTTGACTTGCATCCCACTGGGATTTTTGCACACTGCGTGTTTTTTTTTTCTAAAAGACTTTGCTGTTTTTTCCTGGATTTTATGTTGCGCGTAGTCACCTCAAGATGTTCTTTGTTCATGTTTTTGTTTGTTGCGGTTGCACCTGAGTCAAGAGCCGTATTGCTCACAGGGCTATACCTAATAAATGAAACAAACAAACAAAATTAAACAAACCAGTGTCTTCTTCTTCTTCGAGGAGGGGGGCGGAGTGTCAAGGCCAAAGAGGTTGCGATGTTTGGGGTATCAAATCGATGAGCATGGTTGGCGACGTACGGTGCGAAAGAACTTCAGCATACACTAAACTACAAACGAGGCGTGCATTCTGGACGTCTGCGTTGTTTCTCTCTCTCCCCTCCCCCAACAAAACTAAGATTACGGTAATCCACACCGAGCGGTGCAATGCTGCCATCTAGCGGAAGCCCGGTGCTTGAACGCGCAAGAGATGACACGGACAGGGTTTACAATACACGTTCGCTGTTGCGCAATTGGCATGTATCATTTCACGTTCATTGTGTAACGCTCAGGCAAGTATTAAAAGCAGACAAATTAAACCTCGTCGAATGTCTATACTGGGTTTCAATCGGACAGCCAATGTTCTACCGTTACATCACACGGTCGTAGTCGTTAAACGGAATGGAAAATTTAATTGAACGCGATGTTTGTATTTGAAAAAAATACCCAAGGCCCCTGCGAGATTTGAACTCGCGACCCCTGGTTTACAAGACCAGTGCTCTAACCCCTGAGCTAAGGAGCCCTCTTGTGAGTCTTATCCCTCTACAAAAACACACTACCAGCAGCACACAAAAGAAAACATTACATTGAGCGATACATATAATTTATCTTTTAGGGCCACGGCTAACGTCAGTGGCAAAATTATATCAGAATCGGTCCCGTGGGGAGCGCGGTGGGTGGTGGGGGGCACACACACCCACCCCCTTCATAAATCCGCACTGACCAGCGTGGTGAAGTATGGTCAAGCAACCCCTATGGCAGATACCGCGTGGGACGCCCCTCGATAGAGGGACTGTAACTATGGAATGTTAAAATGTTCACTTGACATCTCAACGTAATTTGGGGCCATACAATCAAATCCATTCAGATGACACGCATTGCAACCCCTACAGAAATCAAGCTCGCTCTGAGCTTGGCTTAAAAAAATCATCATCAGCTATGGTTTACCCACTGCTGGATGAAGGCGGGCCCTCCAAAGCTGTCGTCATCTCTCACGGCCCTGCGGTGCAACGATCCACGTGCTCCCGAGCACGATCGAGCCGACGACGATTGATTTGCTCCGTCGTCCGCGGTGGACGTCCTCTGCAGGGCGCGCGGGTTTCCCCCGTTTTGGCTGTGCCGCTCCGCCGTTAAAACTCCGCCGTCGACCACCAAACCCTTGAGCGCAGAGCGCACGCTGCCCAACACGAGCCCACTTCGCTTGACACGCAATGGGAATTGTGCGTTTAATTCGCGTTTCTTATCCGCCAGAATCCGCGCGTATGCGTGCATGATTTTCCCCAACTTGTCCAATAATAATAATTATTGTAAGCTCTGCCAGCCTGTGAGTTTTCATCGCGAGGCCCGCGGAGCACTGGTGGCCTCTTGGCAGTGCCGGATTATCCTAGTCGCAAAAGTAGCTACATATTTAGTAGGTACGGGTCCCGCACTTTCAAGGGCCCCGCGCTGAATACTTTCAAGCTATCAATTCCGGTTAAGTGATTCTGCACTTGCTCTATTACCATGGAACTAGACTGCCTTCAACTTTTATGAACGACTGAGTGTTTAAGGTTAGCGATTTGTCGTGTTATCTGGCTGTATAGCGAATGAAAAAATCCAATTACTTTACTATGCAAGTTAAACATTTCTGTTTTAATATTTGTGTTTTTTATTTTATTTAGGGCCCCTTTATAACATATGCTACAGGCCCCGCACTAGCTTAATCCAGCACTGTCTCTTGGTGGCCTTTAGTGAGGCCCCTGACAGTACACAACACGTGAGAACACGCACCCCATCAGCATCATCGTCGTCGTGCTGCTGTCAAACCCCAATGGTTTCAAATGTGTGGCGGCCCTCACGCTGATGCTGTCTTATCGGAGAAAGTGGCCCCCCTCTGGAATTAGTTAAGAACACTGAGTTATATCATTGTTTAGTTAAGGGGGGGGGGGGGGGGGTGGGGGGGGGTAACCCATAAGCTGCCAATGGGATACGCGTGTTTAATAACTGAAGGAGACCAAACTGCCCAAGGGGTAACAGAGAGAAAACCCCACAACCCCCATGACCCCCGCCGGGTCATAGCGGCCAGACAAGCGAGAATTTCACGGACGGAATCCGTCGCCGCAAACCTCAAACATCCTAATCGGGATCTTTCCACACGAGACGTCTCACGTCCCCTTTGTTGGCAGAGAGAGGGAGAGAGAGAGAGTGTGGGCATGTGGATGTAGCCTATGTTAGTGTCTGTGTGCGTCTGTATGTTGTTCGGAGGAGGCGTAGTGTATTGGTTAAGAGCAGTGGTTCTTAACCCTTACTGCAGCCTTGCATCATCATCCCTTTGGATCTCAATCGTCAATTGTTTTTATATTCTGAGTAAATACACATAGGATTTGATTAAACAAAGTAGTTGTACTTACGTGCCCGTGCTTAATTTATGTTTCGCTGATTTACCTTCTAAGAAAATCTGGCCACGTCTCGCACCGCCAGAAAGGGCATCTCGCACCCCCGGGTTAAGAACCACGGAATTAAAGCACAACCCATAATTAGGCGTCCCGAGTTCGATTCAACAACCCCAGTGACGAGTGTCTTGAACGGGTCCTGGGGTCTCCCAGCCTCAAATAAGTACTTCACCTGGTTCGTTGCGTAAAACATCGCCACTGGAGAGATAAAGGCGGCCGGGCGTGGTGCTGGCCACTCACCCCCTCGTGTGCCGTGCCAGCTTTCATCGGTGCTCGCTAACAACACTTGTCCCAACAGTCTGTTAAGGCTATAAGGGGGGATCTTTGTCTTGTGATGTATTTGTTAAAGCACTGCGCTTAGTATCAAACCACCCGAAACGTAGAGCAGTGCTTATACGCCGTACCAGGTACTAATTTGAGGCTGAGTCGACCTAGCGGATGCCTAGGACCGATTATTATCGTCACAAAATAAATCAAACTTCCTCCCGTATAGCCTTAACAGACTCTTGGGGAAGGTGCTGTGAGCGAGCACCTATGACGGTCGGAACGGCACACGTGGGGGTGAGTGGTCCGCTGGCAGGAGGTCGTGGGGCAGACCCAGGCGACATGGGTCGACTGACTGAGATGCCTGGGCGATGCACCACCTGTGCCCCCTACTGTTCCAACGCACGCACACACACAGAAATACACACACGCAGAAATACACACACGCAGAAATACACACACACAGAAATACACACACACAGAAATACACACACACACAAATATACGCAGAAATACACACACACACAAATATACGCAGAAATACACAAACACACGCAGAAATACACACACACAGAAATACACACAGAGAAATACACACACGCAGAAATACACACACACACACAGACAGAAATACACACACAGACAGAAATACACACGCAAAAAAATACACGCAGAAATACACAAACACACGCAGAAATACACACACACAGAAATACACACACACAGAAATACACACACACACAAATACACGCAGAAATACACAAACACA